TAATTTGGGTTTTACGACTTTTTTCTTTTACAAACCGTACGTACTATCATAATTTCTACACGTCCGTCCTAATTTACCGTACTACTTTACTATATACGTACGTAGCGAAAACTTTTATTAATATATATCTAATACATCACTAAACAATTTGTCTAAATATCAAATACGTAAAATTTTTTTTGAAAAATTTTTTTTTTTTTTTTAAAATTTTGATTTTGATTGGATATTCGGTGAATACAGTCAAACCATTACCGTTACAGCATTATCGTTATACAAAAAAATTTTAATAACGATAAACTTGGTGGGCTGGCAAAATTTCCGTTATACGTACGTACGTACGTACGTATGTAATGACATTTCTACTGTCGAATTCATACGTAACTATTTTAAATTTTATTAAAAATTCGGTATATACTTCGTAATTGGTTTATAGTGTAATTGGCTGGCTTGTAATATAATTATCACATGATGATCAATATCAGATTGCAAGTTTCGCACCACAGCAAGCCTATCGCCACAATAAATGAGATTGTTAGGTAGGAATAGTATTTATTTAATCATGGTGGAAATAAGAGTACCCCTAATTATATGTAATTGTCTTAATATTCGTCGTTGCATTAAATGTCATTAATATTATACTCGCTATGAAAAAAATCACTCAAATTTATTAACGTCAATCTCCGAAATTCTCAAAACCGTATAGGTTTGTTTATGCGTGATCCGTCTCCTATGTCGATTTCTCGGTTTCTTTTTAAATATTTGAATAAATGGACCTTTAGGTTGTTCAAGCACTGTAGCTTTGATGTTATAAAATGCTTCAGAAACAAAAGGTTGTCCCTTAATTGTGTAATCCTTGGATCCCAGTTCGAGCACCCGATTTAATCTTAATTCATCTCCAACATTCACGTCACGCAACCTATGTGCAATCACGATATCATTTTTGGTGATTAAAAATTTTTGAGATCGAATATCTACTACAGCATAGTAACGTAATTGATCTCTTAATTTATTAATTGCTTCTTTTGTCGAATCAGTGAAACCCTTTGGTAAACGAAGCGGTGGTAATTTCTCTGAGGCATTTGAAAGAGGCAGAGCTTTTAATTGTGTTTTTGGTTTTACTGTAGTAGTTGTTGTATAGTTAGGCGAAACTTTTTCACTTAATGATAGAATAAACCTCTGGTGAAACAACGAAACCCTGGAGAAAGACGAAATTCCTGGAAAAACGAAACCCATAGAGAAATGGTGAAGCCCCTTGATATTTATAGGAACTAGAAACAAACTCATTTTTGTTTGCATCAGTAATATGTCGACGATAATCTTATAAAATCTCGCACGTGGCTTAACGTAAGACGTTGTTTGTGTGCGACGGCTGTCCTACACCATAATAAAATTTGTACATTTGTACATTCAAATCTTCCGTAAATTCTTAGAGATATAAATATGAAAAATAAAGCTAAAGGTAATAAAAACAAAAGTAAAAAGAATAAAGGTAATCGTAATAATAATAAAAACAAGAACAAGTCAGAAAGAATAAATTCTCACAAATCTCATAAGATGGACCCCGTTGACACGTTGAAAGGTATTTTTCGTTTATCTTTCTCATAAGCTCTTATATCAACGTTTGCTAATTCGATCCTTCCGATTAAACAGCCAACGACGATTTGGAAAATGGATCGCTTAACGATGATATTGAAATATGCCCTCACCTTAAGGAGGCAGTAAAAATACAAAAACTCAAAAAAATCATCAAAAAAGCTAATCTAGCGAACACGCAGTGTGAGGTATGAAAACTTGCAATCAAAATGATTGACCTATTTGTTTGGCATTTTTTACTTTATTAATAGCTCGATCTATTATAGGAATGTGTGCGGCAAGCTGAAGATACTCAGGAAACACCAGATCTCACAGATGGCGACAATATTACCTCTGAAAAGGAAACAGTACAACCACAAATATGGCTCTGTCTCGCTTGTGGTAAACTTCATTGTGGCCGCTATGATAAGAACCATGCGGTGCAACATTTTAACGAACATAAGTCACATACGATTGTAATGAAACTGGATATGTCCATGCCCGAAACTTGGTGTGTGAATTTTGTTCTAGAGTGAAAACACCTGTGTCTATCGTTAACACTTTTTCTTAGTCATTGTTCTCATTTACCAAATTTTATAATACGATTTATTATAGGTGCTATTCATGCGATAAGCAAATAAATTCTTCTACTGGAAAAAATCAAGTTATCAGTCAAGCACGAAACGCTGTCTTAAAGGTTTTTAAATCGGATAATAATATCAAAGGTTTGATTTATAATTAAACTTTTACATTTTATGAAAACATCCCTTACATATTGCGTATTTATTTTCCTAGCTCCAGTTCATGAATCAAATGTATCGACAAAAAACGACATGAAAACTCGCTACCAAACTGCCGCTCCCGGATTGGAAAACCTTGGAAACACTTGTTTTTTTAATTCAGTTATGCAGGTGAATTAACTATGAAAAAATGATTTTATGTTCTGCATCCCTTTTCTATGATTAAATATCAACATTGTATCAAATTTAAGGTCGTGGTAGCGACTTCGATTTTGCGTGATATCCTCCAACCTGACAATCCATATAAAAAATATCCTTTCATAAAAGCTGAACGGTGCCCTGCAGCTAAAGAGGATGAATATGTGGGTCCGTTAACTGATGCGTTTAAAAAATTCTTGAAAGTCATGTGGGCACAACAAGGAGGAATTGTTACTCCTCGCGATTTGTTCACCGAAATAGCAAGAAAATGGAAAGAGTTTCGTGGGTGGAGACAACAAGATAGCCAAGAACTCATGCGTTTAATGTTTGATAGTATTAAGAGTGAAGAGTTTGAGGTAAGGATATCAATAAAATAAAATAAGTAATTTCAATGTATCAAATTTACATACGACATTAATATATCATTAAGTGGCATGTAAAATTAACATGAATATTTGAAAGAAAGATCGTTAATGGCCAGTTTAAATCGTTTCATTGCAGTTCATAAAAAAAATACCTCATGAAAACAAAGAAGAAGAACCGAAAACGGAAGATAGAGAATGTATGCACTCTTCATTACTTATAGATGTTAAGAATAACAATAGATTAACTGGTTTTTCTCGAAAATTTAAGTAGACAAAGAGCAGGACGATTCTTCCAGTGAAAAATCCCTACAACAAAAGCCCGAATCTTTCATTGATGTTTGCTTCGGAGGAAGGCTAGTCAGCGTCATTGTTTGTGACACTTGCAAACATGTTAGTAACTTTACTGTCCTGTTATTAATTTGTGCAATTGAAATTAATAATAACCATTTTACCATCTTTTAGGCATCTTATTCATATGAAAAGTTTTTGGACGTATCATTGCCGATACAATCTCCCTTCGGTGATGATCAAAATAAAGGATCCAAGCAGGTTAGATAAACGCAAAATCTTAAATTAAGAGTACCATTACCTAATTTTTGTATAATATTTAGATGTCTTTCAGCGGCGTAAAAAAGACCATTAGTAATTATTTATCGAGAAGTCGAAGTAATGACAACACGTCTCCACAAGAATCACATACAGACGATTCTTCTCGAAGCGGTGATGATGACTCGAGCGATGATGGCTCCAAAGAAAATGGTGAATTCGAAGATAGTAATAGGGACGATGATTCTGAAAATGGAATAGGAATTGCGAAAATTTCAAAAGATCGAAGGAAGCGAATAAAGATGCTTCTCAGGGAACCAATAAGGTCTGTTCGGTCCACACCAAATTCAACCAGGGATATAACTCTTGTCGATTGCCTTGCAAGTTTCGTGAAAGTCGAGACTTTGGATGGAGAAAATCTTTTTGCGTGCGAAAACTGTTGGAAATCACAAAATCCTTCAGAAGAACCAAGTAGTAATGGTACGGATGGAGATTCTGTGGTGGAAGAACAATCGAATGAATTGAATGACATTAGTGTTGAAAAGAATGACCAAGTTGAAAATAATGTAGAAACTCATGATTTATTGAGAACACAGTTGGAAGATGACGATATTTTTACTGCAGCAGTGGTGGATGATGCAGTTTATTCAGAAACTACACCTAATGACGTGGCCGATACAACCATGGCTGATGATTCACAACCATCCGAACCTGTACCAATGTCGCTCTCTTCAGATGACCCGAATTCGTCATCAGAAACTACACCCGAGTCTTCATCCAATGCACCAATAATTACTTATCCAGATAACTGTCTATCATCTGAAACTACACCTGAATCTTCGTCCTCTGTACATACTATGATGAATGATGCACCGCTATTGTCAGAAACTACTAATGATTTACCATTAGATGAACGTTCTTCAGACGTTAGTGAAGATTCAAATGACCAAACAGCCGATCAACCTAGTTCAACGAATTATACTAATAATGACCCTGACTCGCTCTCTGTTGATAATACAATCCCATCCGCAATAACTTCATCTTCGAAGCCTTTAAAGAAGGAATCAAAGCCTCAGCCTCAAAAATACATCTTTAGAAAAGCTTATAAACGTTAACACTTTTTCTTAGTCATTGTTCTCATTTACCAAATTTTATAATACGATTTATTATAGGTGCTATTCATGCGATAAGCAAATAAATTCTTCTACTGGAAAAAATCAAGTTATCAGTCAAGCACGAAACGCTGTCTTAAAGGTTTTTAAATCGGATAATAATATCAAAGGTTTGATTTATAATTAAACTTTTACATTTTATGAAAACATCCCTTACATATTGCGTATTTATTTTCCTAGCTCCAGTTCATGAATCAAATGTATCGACAAAAAACGACATGAAAACTCGCTACCAAACTGCCGCTCCCGGATTGGAAAACCTTGGAAACACTTGTTTTTTTAATTCAGTTATGCAGGTGAATTAACTATGAAAAAATGATTTTATGTTCTGCATCCCTTTTCTATGATTAAATATCAACATTGTATCAAATTTAAGGTCGTGGTAGCGACTTCGATTTTGCGTGATATCCTCCAACCTGACAATCCATATAAAAAATATCCTTTCATAAAAGCTGAACGGTGCCCTGCAGCTAAAGAGGATGAATATGTGGGTCCGTTAACTGATGCGTTTAAAAAATTCTTGAAAGTCATGTGGGCACAACAAGGAGGAATTGTTACTCCTCGCGATTTGTTCACCGAAATAGCAAGAAAATGGAAAGAGTTTCGTGGGTGGAGACAACAAGATAGCCAAGAACTCATGCGTTTAATGTTTGATAGTATTAAGAGTGAAGAGTTTGAGGTAAGGATATCAATAAAATAAAATAAGTAATTTCAATGTATCAAATTTACATACGACATTAATATATCATTAAGTGGCATGTAAAATTAACATGAATATTTGAAAGAAAGATCGTTAATGGCCAGTTTAAATCGTTTCATTGCAGTTCATAAAAAAAATACCTCATGAAAACAAAGAAGAAGAACCGAAAACGGAAGATAGAGAATGTATGCACTCTTCATTACTTATAGATGTTAAGAATAACAATAGATTAACTGGTTTTTCTCGAAAATTTAAGTAGACAAAGAGCAGGACGATTCTTCCAGTGAAAAATCCCTACAACAAAAGCCCGAATCTTTCATTGATGTTTGCTTCGGAGGAAGGCTAGTCAGCGTCATTGTTTGTGACACTTGCAAACATGTTAGTAACTTTACTGTCCTGTTATTAATTTGTGCAATTGAAATTAATAATAACCATTTTACCATCTTTTAGGCATCTTATTCATATGAAAAGTTTTTGGACGTATCATTGCCGATACAATCTCCCTTCGGTGATGATCAAAATAAAGGATCCAAGCAGGTTAGATAAACGCAAAATCTTAAATTAAGAGTACCATTACCTAATTTTTGTATAATATTTAGATGTCTTTCAGCGGCGTAAAAAAGACCATTAGTAATTATTTATCGAGAAGTCGAAGTAATGACAACACGTCTCCACAAGAATCACATACAGACGATTCTTCTCGAAGCGGTGATGATGACTCGAGCGATGATGGCTCCAAAGAAAATGGTGAATTCGAAGATAGTAATAGGGACGATGATTCTGAAAATGGAATAGGAATTGCGAAAATTTCAAAAGATCGAAGGAAGCGAATAAAGATGCTTCTCAGGGAACCAATAAGGTCTGTTCGGTCCACACCAAATTCAACCAGGGATATAACTCTTGTCGATTGCCTTGCAAGTTTCGTGAAAGTCGAGACTTTGGATGGAGAAAATCTTTTTGCGTGCGAAAACTGTTGGAAATCACAAAATCCTTCAGAAGAACCAAGTAGTAATGGTACGGATGGAGATTCTGTGGTGGAAGAACAATCGAATGAATTGAATGACATTAGTGTTGAAAAGAATGACCAAGTTGAAAATAATGTAGAAACTCATGATTTATTGAGAACACAGTTGGAAGATGACGATATTTTTACTGCAGCAGTGGTGGATGATGCAGTTTATTCAGAAACTACACCTAATGACGTGGCCGATACAACCATGGCTGATGATTCACAACCATCCGAACCTGTACCAATGTCGCTCTCTTCAGATGACCCGAATTCGTCATCAGAAACTACACCCGAGTCTTCATCCAATGCACCAATAATTACTTATCCAGATAACTGTCTATCATCTGAAACTACACCTGAATCTTCGTCCTCTGTACATACTATGATGAATGATGCACCGCTATTGTCAGAAACTACTAATGATTTACCATTAGATGAACGTTCTTCAGACGTTAGTGAAGATTCAAATGACCAAACAGCCGATCAACCTAGTTCAACGAATTATACTAATAATGACCCTGACTCGCTCTCTGTTGATAATACAATCCCATCCGCAATAACTTCATCTTCGAAGCCTTTAAAGAAGGAATCAAAGCCTCAGCCTCAAAAATACATCTTTAGAAAAGCTTATAAACGTTATCTATTTGACTCTTTGCCCCCAGTGTTAGTTTTTCATTTGAAACGTTTCCAGCAAGTTGAAGGTCGATTTTCCGTCAGCACAAGAAAGATTGACGATTTTGTAGGTTTTGAAGAAGAAATTGATGTTCGGGATTTTGTTGTTCCACCCGAAAGTGAAGAAATGGAAGATGAAGATGACGAGAGTGGATCTGAATCCTCAGCTGAATCACGTATCACTAAATATCGGCTTTATGGAGTCGTGGTACATTTAGGAAGTCTTTTTAATGGACACTACATTGCTTACGTTCTTTCAAGGAATATCGTTCCGATGAGGGAACAATATGGTTTTCCGTATCTCTCCGAAGATGGTTATAAAGAAGTCGAAAAGATAACGGAGACAGTGGGTGAAAGGCAAAGGCAATGGATTTATTGTAGTGATAGTTCAGTTCGTGCAGTAAATGTTGAAGAAGTTCTTAAAAGTATGGCTTATCTTTTATTTTATGAGCAAGTTCAATAAGTACAATGAATAGCACAAAATCATCGTTGATGTCAATATTGATCTTTCATTGTCAAAAATTTAAATTGTTAACTAAAAAAAAACAATTTAACATTTAAAATAAATTATTGTCGATAAATATGTATCTTCCCCTCGAAATCAGCTCAAGTTACATCTTCGTAATTCAATAAGTTTACTTTTAATCCTGATTATGTAAAGAAACCATGTTAATATATATAAAGATAAAGCAAAGAATTTATTATAGCGATAGCAATACTTTATTTTTTTTAAATAATCTATTTTTTAAAGCCAGTCTACTTAAATGTACACAGTGAACACCATAATCCACCTTCAGCCAATACTAATTATAATTTAGGTCAATTCTATCCTAAATCAGACCAACTTTGTCGGCGAACGGTTTATATTATCTTAAGCTGCTGTTTGATATTTTAAAAAAATTTAATTAATCAAAAATATATCACACTAAATAATTTATGTTATTATATATTTTAGTTTTTGAGTATGATATTTATTAAATAATTTTAGATAATTAGTTTTTAAGATTTATTTTTTTTTTAATCTATGGTTTTAGATATGTTTTATTAATTTTTAATTTTTATATTATATATAGTTGTATTATTATATTAATATAATTTAATAAAAATTATTCAATTTTCTATATTAAATACAAAATCTTTTTTTGCTATTTTTCTTGGTTACAAGTACAACAGAAGAAGCCCAAGAACTTGAATACTCTCATATTAATTTATTGTCCAATATGCATTGATCTTCTTTATTAATAAATGTCGCAGCTGATGCTGAAATTGGCTGATGCTGAAATTTGGGGTCCCAATTTTAAAACATAGGCCCTGCTAGAATCCACATATACTCTTTAATTATAAATACTAACCCTAAATCCTAACCTAACTATAAAAAAAAAAGTGGTAAAAAAACACCTCAAAATTTTTTTAAATTTTTATATCAAAATAGGTTCAAATTTCAGCATAAGCCAATTTCAGCATCAGCCGTGACAATAAATTTTTGTTTGGCTAAAGGTATTATAAGGTTAAAAACTAATAAGAGGTATATTTTCAGTATATATTTGATAGGTTACTAGGTTAGTTCTTCTTAGTTGAATAATATCTTTTGCAAAGAGGTTTGCAAATTCAAGAAGCAATTATCGAAATTAGACTTTTTGACTTGGAGTTAAAGGTTCTATCTTTGAAATTATTTTTGAATTACTGTATATACTTCTTGTTCAATAAATTTCTTTGTAGGGCTTAGTTAAAAGTGTCTATTTCTGTTAGTAATTCGTTTGAATTATCAAGTAGTTTTTCATCTTGCTTAGGATTATTTGAAAATTTAAAGTTTTAGAGAAAGAGAACTCTAAGTATAATCTTTATAATCTATTATAGAAAGTTTTAAGGTAATTGACTCTATTCATTTTTGAATTATCCTAACTAAAAGACTAACTTGCATGATTTTTTATAGTCTAGACCTTTTGTAATATTGTGATTGTACATAATGTTTGCACTTCATAATCAGAGCTTTTTCCAGAAATTCTTATTCCAAAATTATACTTGCACTTGGATTTTTTATAAGGTTTTATATCTGATTATGGTTTCATAAGGTTATAGTAACAAATTTAAAAATTTATTATTAGCTTAATTTAAACCATCGACCTTGTCTATAAGAGTTTGGGAGCTTAATCAATAAGCTACAAGGTTTAAATCCATCTATATAAAAATTCTTGTATTGTTCTTAAAGAATTTTATATAGACAGTGAAATGTTTTTTAAAGATATTTTAGCATCTATTAAACCAATTTTAATGATTTAACTATTATTAAATTTGTCTTGATAAGTTCAACTTTACTTAAAGACTCAAAGATGATTAATTTAGTATAAAAAAAGTTTTTCTTAAACAATTACTAGAAAATTTTTCTTTTGTATCTATAGTAATTTATATATAAAATTGTATTACATTATACTATAATTATTCTTCAGTTTACTAGAAAATCATCTATTAAAGTTATAAGTCAAATTTAAAAAACAAATATAAAAAATTATTTAGATAAGTATATATTTTTATTTAAGTGAAAATAGAACAAATTGTTTATTTAATAATAAAATAAAATTAGCAAAGATAGTTATTTATAACTGTCAGAGATTTATTTATTTTATTTTTTTTATTAATATAATACCATAGTAGAAACTTTATTACAAATAGAAAAATAATTTTAAATTTAAAGATTTCTAATTATATTTGTGTTATATAAGGCATCCAATATGATATTACACCCTATTTCTTATAAAATGCTATAGTTAATTATTTCAAACTAATTTCTAGCTAGGATAGGATGAAGGAGACCTAAGGTAATAGTCATGACATTAAGTAAAGCATGCAGTTAAAGCATATCCTTGTAAGAGCCATTTATTAATAAAGAGATTAATGTCTAAGGATTGTATTGTAATTAGAGAATTATTTGAAGAAGTAAATATATTTAGAAAGTAGGATTTTGTGCATTTAGCTTTAGCAGTAATATTTCGAGTGAGTTTCCATTGATGTTGATGGATATTATGAATAGACCATAGTTTTTGACAGTACCAAGATAAAAGATTATTAGAGATATTAATAAGAAAAGAGTCAGTATGTTTGTTAAGTAATATTTTGATATTGCTATATA